TGCAAGTTCGTTTTGTGTTTGACATGAGTTTTGATCTTGCAATTCATTGTTTGTAACCTTCTGAGGAGCACCACTACGTTCTCTATCGCTAACATCAAAATCATCCTCTTTAAATCGCCTAAACCAAAACTCACACGTACTTTTGAATACAACATTGACTCCAAGAACAGAACATATTGATTCACATGCTTTAGCAGCGCTTTTTCCTTGATGAAATTCGTATCGAATACAGTATCGAATAAATTGCTTGTCGCTCGCCATTTTAAAACCATTTAATTTTAAGGTTAAGTTTTCAATTTTGTTAAGTCAATTATGTTTTTTAATAGTACACATTAAGCGCCACTACATATCAAAAGAGCGCGAAAATATTTGAATTCTAAGTTTAAATTATACGTTACATAAAAAACGTTTTAAAACTTATTTGTATACCTAATAACTAATATCTTGTTAAATTATTACGAAAATTGCGAAATGGTAGAAGAAAATAACAGTAATAGAAAGGTCAATTTAAGAGCAAAAAATTAGGTCAAAAATGTAAAACGGTTTATTATAGACTCATTTAGTTAAAAAATAATATATAAGAAACGTTTCGACTTTATTTATTAGTCTTCCTCAGTCCATTAAAAAAAATAAATAAAAGAATATTTAAAATGATAGAGGACCTTTCGACTCAGTTTAGGCCAATCTATCAGTACACGAAATATTTGACTTATTCTAGAACACTCTGTATATTCACATTTTTACTCAAACTTTTTTATTCAAATTCAAAACTTTCGAAACCTTCTTCATTCACGGGGCAGTAGTGAGAATATCGCCAGTGACGCTTCGTTCCATGAAAAAGATACGGGGTTTCAGCAAAAAGCGTTTCAACGCTGGTTTTGTTTTCGACGAAGTGGAGAAGGAGGGGTCTTCGCCAGCGAAACTTACTGCATGAAAATTGACATGACACCTTTAGGCGTTTACAGCATCGCGTTGACTGTACCTATTGAAACATGGGCTCGAACAGAGAGAAACCTGAGAAAGCCCATGGCGGCCTTTTTCGTGTAATAGACGAAAGCCACCGTAGCAGCACCAACATCATTTTTTAAATAATTAAAAAAAAAATTTTTTTAATTAAAATGAAACAAAAAAAGTTTAAAAAAAATTAGAATTAAAAATATAATGTAAAAAATATTAAATAAAAACATTTTCAAAGAAAAACATTTTTTTAATTGAAAGCGTAAATTAAAAAAAATTAAAATTAAAAAAGGAATTTTAAAATATTTAAAGAAAAAAATTTAAAAAAAGCTTAAAAATCTGTTTTTTTCCCCAAACTCCCAACTGCTACCAGAAATTAGTTTTAATATAGACGGAAATTTTACAAAAAAAAAAAGAAATTTAAGAATTAAAATTTTAAAAAGAAATTTTTAAAAATTTTTAAAAATTTTAAATTAAAAATGTATATAATTAAAAATAAAATAAAGAAATATAATTTCAAAAACTCAAAAACGAAAACTTATGAAGACAAGCAACTTAAAAAGTGAAAAATTTTTTTTAAATAAAAATTAAAAATAAAAAATTAAATTCTTTAAAATATAAAATGTTTTTGAGACATAGAAATTCATATACATACACATACATATGTGTTGCTTTTAAAAGTATGAAATAGAACAAGCAAAAATAAAAATTAGAAATTAAATATTATAATAAATAAAAACATTTTAAAGGCAAAAAAGAGTTTTTTAAATTGGAAACTTAAAAAAGATACAAATAATATTAATTATAAAGATTTAATGGCATCTCCTGATTGCTTTTTAATAATTTTAAATTAATGTAGCATAAATTGAAAAATATTTTTTTACACTTTATCTTTTGTTGCATGTGCACGCTTTTGTACCTTCCTTTTCTCTGTTATATACGCGTCCATAATGTTTATGGTTTATTATATTAAATCTTTATAATTAATATTATTTGAATCTTTTTTAAGCTTTCAAAAGCTTTTAAATTTTAAAAGAACTATTTTTTGCCTTTAAAATGTGTTTATTTAATATTTAATTTTTAAAATGGTTGGATATAATAGAATAATACGAGTCAAACACGGTAATTCTTGTGCAAACTAATACGGATAACAAAACAACTTTAATAATAATTAATTCGCATACATGTTTCGGCTCATTTTTGAGCCATCCTGAGACAATATGATATTGTAATTACGAAAAAATTTTTTACTAATTCATTTCAGTAGCCCACCTCCATCTGTTAACGGAAACTATAATATAAAAACGAACTCTAATAACAATCTAAAATGTATTAAAATTATTAAAAGGTAAATTTGTTAGAAGCAAAAAAAAACGATTTATTG